AATTTATATTTAGGAATATCTTTTAGATTGTTTATATCTTTAGAAGATATAAATCTTAGATCTTCTTATATCTTTGTAGAAGATATATTTTAGATTTAATTTGTGTGTATAAATAGCCTAGTGGAGTAGGTTATTGTAATTCATTGTAAATCCTTATTTTAGAAGCTATCAGTAAATATTCCTTTTTCCTTTTATCTTCCTTGTGCTCCAACAATTAGTATCTAGAGCTCCTGGTTAGAAACTCTGAATTTGGGAAACATTGTTTTTTCATTGAGTTTCTACGTAAATTGTACAAGGTAGAAGATGAACGGAAACAACGATATTCATTCCAAGCTTCCAGTATTTGATGGAAAAAATCTGGAATCGTTGGAAGATCCAGATGCGCGTGTTATTTGGCTCTCAAGATGTGTTAGAACTTGTTACTGATGGCTATAATCAGTTAGAAGCAGATGCAACAGAGGACCAAAAGATAGCACAGAAGGCGCTGAGGAAGAGAGATCAGAAGGAGTTGTTCTACATCAATCAATGTGTGGATGTTAATGTGTTTGAGAAGATTGTTGATTCTGAAACAGCAAAGGCTGCATGGGACACACTGGTCAGATGTTACGGTGGTGACGCATCAGTGAAGAAGATGAAGCTTCAGTCTCTCAGAAAGCAATATGAGAATCTCAACATGAAGGACAACGAGAAGGTTTCTGAATACATCTCTAGAGTGATTATGATCACTAATGAGATGAAAGCTTGTGGAGAAACTCTGTCTGAACAAGTAATTATTGAGAAGATCTTGAGATCTTTAACTTCTCAGTTTGATTACATTGTTGTAGCAATTGAACATTCCAAAGATCTGAGCACCATGAGAGTTGAAGAGTTGCAAAGTAGTCTAGAGGCGCATGAGTTGCGTATGACTACAAGAACTTTTGAGAGGGAAGTAGAGCAGCAGGCTCTGAAAGTAACTTCTGGTAAGAAGCATCAGAAGCAGACTTGGTCAGAAGCCAGTAAGAGAACTAATGGTGGTCAAAAGTCAGAAGCTTCAAACTCTGATAGGCAGAAGAATGTCCAGAGGGGAAAGGAGAAATCTGACAAGAAGAATGTTCAGTGTTACTGTTGTAAGAACTTTGGTCACTATGCCAGAGATTGCTGGTCAAACAAAGAAAGGAAGTCAGAAGAAGCAAATATAGCAAGAGGAGATTTAGATTCTGAACCTGTGCTATTGTTGGCTTCTGAACCTGATGATCTGAAATCATCATAATGGTGGTATATAGACACAGGGTGTTCAAACCATCTTACTGGAAACAAGAAGTGGTTGGTTGACTTTGACTCTGGGAAGAGTACAAAGATCAGATGTGCTGATGACAAATACCTCAATGCAGAAGGTATGGGAAATGTCAGAATCATTCTAAACAATGGGAAAGAAGCTGTGATCCAGAATGTTTGGTATGTACCTGGCATGAAAAGTAATCTGATGAGTGTGAGACAACTGGTTGAGAAAGGTTTTTCAGTTACCATGAAGGACAATCTTCTGAAGCTGTATGACTGTAATCAGAAGCTGATTATGGAGTTAGAACAGGGAAGGAACAGAACATTCAAGGTGAATGTTAGAACTGCAGACTCTGAATGTCTTAGTACAACAAGTGTTGTCAAGGAGAGTCAGCTGTGGCACAGAAGATTTGGTCATCTGAATTTCAGAAGTTTAGGGCATCTGAAATCAAAGAATCTGGTACATGGAATTCCTACAATCAAGAAGCCTGAAAAGTCATGCAAGGTATGCATGGAAGGGAAGCAACCAAGATTACCCTTTGCATCAGAAGTAGTTCTAAGAGAAAAACATGCCTTAGGAGTAGTACATTCTGATGTGTGTGGTCCGTTTCCAGTAGCATCGACTGGAGGGAATAAATATTTTGTGTCATTTGTTGATGAGTTCACCAGAATGACATGGGTATCTCTCATAAAGTTCAAACACGAGGTGTTTGCTGAATTCTAAAAGTTTAGACTGAAGGCTGAGAATCAGAGTGGCCAGACTCTGAAAATTCTTAGAACTGATCCTGGTGGTGAGTATAACTCCACAGAATTCAGAAGTTTCTGTGAGGAGAATGGAATTGAGCATGAGGTTACTGCTCCATATACTCCTCAACATAATGGTCTTGCTGAAAGAAGAAATCGTACTTTGCTAGATATGGTGAGAAGCATGCTGAAAGAGAAGAAGCTTCCTCATACTCTGTGGGGAGAAGCTGTTGCAACTGCATGTTATGTGCTCAACAAATGTCCAACAAAGAAATTAAAGGAAATAGTTCCTATTCAGAAGTGGACTGGAGATAAGCAAAGTGTTATTCATCTGAAGGTGTTTGGTTCTGTATGTTATAAACATGTCCCAGAAGTCAGAAGACAGAAGCTGGATGATAGAAGTAAAGTGATGTTGCTGGTGGGGTATCACAGTACAGGTTCGTACAAACTTTATTATCCAGAAACTAACAAAGTTGAGTTCAACAGAGACGTCATTGTAGAGGAATCAGAAGTTTGGAGTTGGGAAAAGTCTCGTCCTGACTCTGATGACAGTACTTTTGAAGAAAGGTCAAAAATACATGTTTCTGAAGCTAGTAAAGACTCTGACTCTGAAGAAGATATAGAAGGAGAAGATGATTCTGACTCTGACTCCGATGGTTCATAATCTGAAGACAGTCAAGGTTCTGGAGAAAGTCCAATTTCTGAAGCAAGTGCTTCTGAAGGGGAAAGTTCTGGAGAAAGTCCAACTGCTGAAGCAAGTGCTTCTGAAGGGGAAAGTTCTGGTGTCCAAAGTTCTGAAGGTCCAGTTCAGAGGCAACAAAGAGTCAGAAGCATCCCAAGAAGATTTGCAGAGTTTGACATGTTGCAAGACACTAAAGTAGACTCTGAAGGAGAAGTTATTCAGTGTGCAATGTTAGTAGACTCTGAACCTGTGAGTACGAAAAAGGCTCTTAAGCAGCAAGTTTGGTTACAGACAATGAAACAATAACTTGATGCTATAGAGAGAAACAAGACTTGGAAGCTGACAGAACTTCCAAAAGGCAAGAAAGCCATCAACATCAAATGGGTTTTCAAGCAGAAGCTAAAGCCAGATGGATCAATTAGAAAATACAAAGCAAGATTAGTAGCAAGAGGCTTCCTACAGAAGCCTGGGCTGGATTACTTTGAAGTGTTTGCACCTGTAGCGAGACATGAAACAATCAGACTAGTGATTGCAATAGCTGCTAACAGGAATTGGCATCTGATGCATTTAGATGTAAAATCTGTATTTCTGAATGGTCCATTACAAGAAGAGGTGTACGTTTCACAACCTCATGTATTTGAGAAAAAGAATCAGGAAGGGATGGTGTTCAAATTACACAAAGCATTGTATGGATTGAAGCAAGCGTCCAGAGCTTGGAACTTGAAAATTGATTCGTTTTTTAAGGAACAAGGGTTTCAGAAGTGTGAGATGGAGTATGGTGTTTATGTTCAACACACTTCAGAAGGTAATATGATTCTGGTCTGTTTGTATGTTGATGACATATTACTCACAGGAAGTTCTGAACAAGAGATAGCTGAGTTCAAGAAAGTTCTGATGAATACGTTTGAGATGACAGATCTTGGAAAAATGAGTTTCTTTGTAGGGATGGAATTTATATACTCTGAGAAAGGAATCATTTTACATCAGATGAAGTATGAACTAGAGCTTCTGAAGAGATTTGAGCTAGAAAATTACAAGGTTGTTGTCACACCTGCTGATACGAATCAGAAGTTGGATTCTGATTCTGATGGAGAGGATATGGATGCTACAACCTTCAAACAGATGGTTAGCTCTCTAAGGTATTTGTGTAATACCATACCTGATATTTGCTATGCAGTTGGAATGATCAGAAGATTTATGAGCAAACCAAAGTGGTCCCATTACCAAGCTGCAGTCAGGATTCTGAGGTATGTGAAGGGAACTCTGAAATATGGGAGTGTTATTTCCGTCTGGAAGAAAGATCGAATCAGAACTTCAGAGTTATTCTGATTCTGATTGGTGTAGAGATAGAGTTGACAGAAGAAGTACTTCTGGGTACTTATTCAAATTTCTGGGAGGTCATATTTCTTGATGTTCCAAGAAGCAATCTGTTGTTGCTCTGTCAACCTGTGAAGCTGAATATATTGCAGGTGCTCTGACTGTATGTCAAGCTGTGTGAATTCTGAACTTGCTGAAAGATCTGAAGATTGAGGTGAATAAACCTCTGAAGCTGATGATTGATAACAAATCTGCAATCAGTCTTGTCAAGAATCCAGTGTTGCATGGGAGAAGCAATCATATTGAGACCAAGTATCATTTTCTGAGGAATCAAGTTCAGAATGGAATAATAGAGGTTGTGCATTGTAGCACTCAGAAGCAGCTGACAGATGTTCTGACAAAGGCTATCAAAACTGATCAATTTCCTGGAGTAAGGGATGAAATTAGTGTTGTCAGTTTTGAGTAAATATAAATTAAGGGATGATGTTAGAATTAATTTAGATTTGATAATTAATTAGATATTAATTTATATTTAGGAATATCTTTTAGATTGTTTATATCTTTAAAAAATATAAATCTTAGGTCTTCTTATATCTTTGTAGAAGATATATTTTAGATTTAATTTGTATGTATAAATAATCTAGTGGAATAGATTATTGTAATTCATTGTAAATCCTTATTTTAGAAGCTATCGGTAAATATTCCTTATACATGTCTCCATCGTGCTTCCGCGACTTTCAATGACTTTCAATGAGCTCAACCAGTTTCATAGGGAGCTTAAACCATTGCAGTCTCATAGGAAGAATCACCGAAGCCACACAACAAACGATAGCAGGATAGTGGTGGAAAATTATAATAAGAGTGTTGATGTGAAACCCGAGAACGAGTTTGGAAGGGAAAGGGTTCATGATGAGAATGAAAAAAAAAAAGAAGAACGAACAAGAAGAAGGACAAGAATTTAGAAGGCGAGAATTCAAATGATAAAGAGCATCAGAAAGATATGGAGGAAAAGATAAGTAACAATGTGAAGGTTGAAAATGGAAAGGGACAAGAACAGCAAGAGAAAGAGGTAGAGAAAAAACTAAGCAACGGCGAGAGGAGTGAAAATGGAGGGCTAGTTGGTTCCCGGGACTTAGAAATTAGGTCGAAAAAGAAACAGGAAGCTAAATTACATGTTGAAGAGGTAAAGACGGAGCAAAGGAAGAAGAGGAAGAATGAAAACGTGGAATATGGATATGGGGAACAGTCTAAGAAGAAAATGAAAATGAAACGCGAGGGTTAAGCTTAAATTTAGAGCGTTGTTAATTCACTGGAGAACTGTTACACTTTTTTTCCCAATTGATCAGGAATTTTCACTTTCAAGGTGACTTTTGTTTTATTGGAATAAGAAATGCCAATTCATTTGAAATTCAACAGGTCCCTTAGCATTACTTTGTCTATCTATGTAATTTTGCTGCCACTCATGCAAAGCATCTTGCAATGTAGATGCATATACTTCTAGGGAAAAGGCTTTTTTTTTTTTTGCCATGACCTATACATTAAACAAAATATATGAAGCACTCAGATAAGTATATAATTACTCATCGTGTTCTGAAATTATATTCTACTTCAAAAGTTATAAAAGCCAGATTAACTAGGGAGCGGCATATCCGCAGGGACAAGGCCACCAGCCACATTTCCACTGCTCAGGTAACTTATTAATTTATTATGTGTTGTGTTTTCCGGTGATGAAAATTAATTGACTGGATTGAAAATTAATCTTAACAGAAAAAGTTATTTTTCTCAATTTAATACTTGGATAGTCATTGTATGCTAATTAAGAAACTAGAAATCTTAGCTTCTCAACTACCTAGGCTGTTAGTTATGCAGTTAGTTATTCTGCAGTTAGGTAGTTAGCAGCAGTTATACTAGCTGTTAGTTATGCAGTTAGTTATGCTGTTAGTTATGGAAGTTAGTTACATATATAGCTTGCAATAGAATGCTAGCATATATAGTTGTGTAATGCATAAGCTTGAACATATGAAATAAAATACTTCTTTCCTTTCTCTTCTTTAATCTTTCTTTCTCTCTTTTCTCTATTGAATTGAGCATGAGTTCTCAATCATAATATGGTATCATTCGCTTCAAGATCCACACCTGTGATCCTTCTTCTTTTCCCATAAACCAGTCCTTCTTCTTCTTAATACAGTGCTTCTTTTTCATCTATGGCGCGCGGTTCCAATCCCACCTCCTCAACTCAACGTGTCACCAATGGTGACATAGATTCAGTCTACTATGTACATCCTAGTGAAGGCCCTAATTCTGTGATCATCACACCTCAATTGACTGGTGTCAATTATATTTCTTGGTCTAGATCAATGAAACGAGCGCTTGGTGCTAAGAACAAGCTTGCTTTCATTGATGGCACTATTCCTATTCCTGACATTGATGATCTCAACCGCTGTGCATGGGAACGATGCAATTGCTTAGTCCATTCATGGATTCTCAACTCTGTTACATCACCCATTGCTCAAACTATCGTTTTCTTGGAGAATGCTCTTGAAGTCTGGAATGACCTCCAGGAACGGTTTTCGAAGATTGATCGAATCCGTGTCTCAACTCTGCGCATGGAGATTAACAATCTCAAGCAAGGGTCGAAATCAGTTCTTGATTACTTCACTGAACTGCGTGGCTTATGGGAGGAATTAAACTCTTATCGCCCTCTACCATCGTGCACTTGTGCTCAACAATGTCGCTGCCAAGCCTTGAGAGCTGCTCGAGAATTTCGCATTGAAGATCAGGTAATACAATTTCTAACTGGTTTGAATGACAAATTTTCTGTCATCAAAACTCAAGTTCTTTTGATGGATCCTTTACCATCCATCAACAAAATCTATTCTATGGTGATTCAAGAAGAGAGCCATAACGTCTCCTTACTTTCAAAACCTGAATCCTTTGCTCCTATGGAAGAAGTTAATTCTTTGGTAAATGCTTATGACTCAAGAAGACAAGGTGATCGTGGCAAGCAAGCCAATTACTCTGGTCATAGTAACAATAGTTCCCAAAACTCGCGCAGAGACAATAGGCTGTGTACTTATTGCAATAGAGCAGGTCACACAGTTGAAGTTTGCTATAGGAAGCATGGTTTTCCTCCAAACTATGGTAAAAAGCAAACTGTTGCTAATGCCACAAATTCCTCTACTGGTGACAACCAACAAACTGCTTCCACTGGTGAAGAAGATTCCTCTAGGAGTCAATGTGCTAGCATATCTCAAGAGCAATACTCTCAGTTGATTAACTTGTTGCAGCAAACAAATTTACTGTCTCAGTTGCCAAATTCTGCTACCAATGTTAATTCAACCACCAATCACATTTCTACATATGAGTCTACAGGTAATTCTCAAGTGCTCATAGCATCTTGTTCCACTAGTAGAAAACCTGACTATTGGATCATTGACTCAGGAGCCAATGATCATGTATGCTCCTCTCTTCATTGGTTTAGTTCTTTACATAAAATTAAACCTGTTAATGTGTGTCTACCTAATGGTGCTATTGTCATTGCTAAACAAGCTGGCACTGTTAATTTTTCACCACAGTTTTTTCTGCAAAATGTTTTGTACACTCCTGACTTCTCTCTTAATCTCATGTCAGTTTCAAAAATGTGTCAATATCTTAACTGCAAACTTTCTTTTCATGCTGATCAATGTTATATACAGGATGTGAAATCACAGAGGATGATTGGTTTGGCTAGTCAAGTAGAAGGATTGTACAAACTAGTGCTAGATGATGGTTGGTCTGCTGATAAAAGAAAACACACTTCCAACTCAGATTGTTCCAATGACCTCATCATGCCTAAAACTTCTGCCAACACATGTAAAGTGATTCCACCACAAGCCTTGTGGCATTTTAGATTAGGTCACTTATCTCATGACAGAATTTCTAAAATGCATCAATTGTATCCACAACTTGTTAATGATAATAAGGCTGTCTGTGATATTTGCCATTTTGCTAGACATAAGAAAATTTCATTTCCTATCAGCACTTCTAGAGCAAATGCTAAATTTGAACTCATTCATTTTGACATTTGGGGTCCTATTTCCATTACTTCTATTAAAGGTCACAAGTATTTTCTTACTGTTCTTGATGATTTTAGTAGATTTGTTTGGGTAATCTTGTTAAAATCCAAGGCAGAGGTGTCTGACCATGTTAAAAATTTTATTATCCTTATTGAGAATCAGTTTCATACCTGTCCCAAGTACATCAGGTCTGATAATGGACCTGAATTCTCTCTCCCTCAATTTTATGCATCCAAGGGCATTATTCACCATAAGTCATGTGTAGAGACACCTCAACAAAATGGTAGGGTAGAAAGAAAACATCAGCATCTCTTGAATGTAGGTAGAGCCCTATTATATCAATCAAACTTACCAAAATCCTTCTGGTCATATGCAGTCCCTTATGTTGCTTTCATCATTAACAGAGTCACATCCAATTTACTTCAACAAAAATCACCATACCAGCTATTGCATGACAATGTACCTGACATTAGTCATATTAAAGTATTTGGTTCTCTTTGCTATGCTTCTACTCTTACTTCTCATAGAACCAAATTAGAAACCAGAGCTAGAAAGGCAGTCTTTTTAGGCTACCCTGTTGGATATAAAGGCTGTTTACTTCTAGATCTCAATAATAGTGACATTTTCATATCTAGGAACATTACACATCATGAGCATATTCTGCCTTACAATACTTCTTCTGAATCTCTTAGTAATTCATGGGAGTATTTCAGTACACAGTCCTTACAATCATCATCACCAGTTACTAGCTCTACTCATCCTAATGTATTTGATATTGCTGACATTTCTGATAATGTGTTTAACACATCAGCTGACCCTGCACACAATGACACGAGTATTGACAATAATGATCTTGTGCAACCTGAATTGTCTAATCATGCACATGTTGATACTCTAGTTCCAGCACAAAACAATCCTCACGATATACCTACACTAAACACATCAGTACCTACTTCTCTCTCCACTCAACCCACCAATCAAATTCTCCCCACAAGGGTTTCTTCCAGAACAAGGCACCAACCATCTCACCTCAGAGACTATGTTTGTGCTTCCTTCAACAGCAATGACTACCCCATCACTTCATCCTCAGGTATTGCTTATCCCATTTCTAATTCTGTTTCTTATTCTCATTTGTCTCCTTCCCATTCTCGATTCACATTATCTATCACCACTCAAACTGAACCTAAAACATATGCTGAGGCTTGTAAATCTGCAAGTTGGATTCAAGCTATGAAATCTGAGATTACTGCTCTTGAAGATACTGGCACATGGCAAATAGTGGATCTTCCACCAAATGTTAAGCCTATAGGTTGCAGATGGGTCTACAAAATAAAGTATAAGTCTGATGGAAGCATAGAGAGATTCAAAGCTCGACTTGTAGCTAAAGGCTACAACCAGATTGAAGGCTTGGACTATTCTGATACATTCTCACCAGTTGCTAAACTCACAACAATTCGCCTTGTTTTGGCTTTAGCTTCTATTCATAACTGGCACTTACATCAGTTAGATGTGAACAATGCCTTTTTACATGGCACACTTCATGAAGATGTATATATGGTAATACCACCTGGTGTGAACACCACCAAATCCAACCAAGTCTGCAAATTGGTTAAATCTCTCTATGGCCTGAAACAAGCAAGTAGGCAATGGTATGAGAGACTAACCTCACTGCTTATTCAACATGGCTACAAACAGGCAACATCAGATCACTCACTATTTGTTAAAAGTACTTCTTCTTCATTTACAATTATACTTGTATATGTTGATGATGTGCTTCTAGCAGGTAATTCCTTGGCAGAATTCCAACATATGAAGACTGTGCTTGATGTGGCTTTTAAAATCAAGGATTTAGGAAGACTCAAATACTTCCTTGGTTTGGAAATTGCTCACTCTTCCAAGGGCATCTCTATTTGTCAGAGAAAATACTGTCTTGATCTTCTTTCTGATACAGGTTTTCTTGGTTCCAAACCAAGTAACACTCCATCAGATCCTGCCATCAAATTGCATAATGATATTGGACCAGTCTTTGATGACGTCCCAGCTTATCGGAGGTTAATTGGGAGACTCATCTATCTCAACACAACCAGACCTGACATCACATTCATCACCCAGCAACTGAGCCAGTTTTTGTCCAAGCCCTCCATGATTCATTACAATGCTGCTTGCAGAGTCTTGCGCTACCTCAAGAAGTCACCAGGACAAGGACTTTTCTTCCCAAGGGATTCAC